TAAAATAGAAAAAATTGAAAGTTTACTATCTTAATTAGAATTAATAAAGTTCACATTTTTAAATTAAAAAAAATTGATATCTTTATTTATACATTTTCTTTAAAAAATTGTAAAAAAAAAAATTATTCAGTTATCATTATTCCTACCATAAAAATCCATAAAAGCAATACCAGCTATATTATATAGATGATAAGTTCTACTAAATCTTCGTTACATAGCCACACGGCCCACACCCAAAGAACAGACGATCACAAAATGTTTCAGATGCAGATCCATAGAAAACAAAATTATCACGCAGACATGACGTCCATTGCTTTTATCTAGGACGTCCATTGCTTTTATCTAGCCCGTCCACATCCTGTTCAGCTTATTTGTTGTTTTCTGTGTTCAACTAAAGTTTTTGTAGTAAATATATTGAATTATAAATTCAAACCATAATAATTGTAGCAAAAATTATCTTACAATCCATTATGTAACATACTGCAAGATTAGAATCATCAAAGAATGTGAATCCATGATATTGGGCTCATCTCCCCTCTTTTTTTATGACCTGATCTTAGAGTCTACTGCAAGATAGACTATAAAACAGAAACCTCATAATTCCAATCCTCCTATTAAAATAATTAAGTAATTAATTTTTTTGAATGTTGGGGTGGAATTTGAATTCCACACTTATCGAATTTAAGATAATTATACATACACCCAAACAATCAACACTCACCTCAACACCCAAAGCTTATGAACAGTAAAATTACAAATTTACTCCTCTTCATTTTAATCTTGGGTGTTGAGATGGATGTTGATTATTTGGGTGTATGTATAATTGTTCTCAAATTTAACATAAAAAGTCATTTACAAGGAAAATGTGGTCACTAAGCCACCAGAACATTCTCGATTAAGTAATTAATTTGATGGTGGCATAACATAAATTTTTATGTCAAAAATATTGCAACTGAATCTTTATCAAGTACCCTATTATGTTACTCAAACTACCTATAAAGTTGTTGATTTTTTTTTTTTTCATTTTATGATGAGATGATAATATGACACAAAGGAGTGCTGCATGCACACATAAATTTTGATCAGCTCAATATTATTTATTTATTTATTTATTTTGATAAGAGTATTTTTAGTTCAACCTCATACGGTTTTGAAATTATTTTTAGACAAATTTAAATTTTATTTTTTATTAATTTAATATATTTTAAAAAATTAATTAATTTCCTTAAATACTGACTCTAAGATTTAAATTTTAAACTTAATTTATAAAATAATATTTATTGACTAATAAATCCAACTTTAGGCTTTGGATGACCTCAGTATTTAGCAGACATCACGGGTCTGTTGTTTTTCTTCTAATGGTATTTATTCTAAACTTCTAGTATTTGTTTTCATTGGATTACAATTTACACACGCATATCATTCATATTATTCTAAGTTAAATAACAGATTTCCACGCCTTACCA